ACCCACTTAGTTTCTTGAATACATAAGATATTAATTTTTCTATGAATCATAATATCAACTAATTCCATTAATTTACCATTGAGAGTGCCTATATTCCAAGATCCTATCCTAATATTAGTTTCATTAGTTTCATGGACTAACTTCTTTACCCGCATTCGCCCGTAATGTGGGAACTCTTGCTTATTTAACACTACACCCGGGCGCCGGTGTAGCGGCCCTTGCACACTTTTCACTGTATTCAGGCTATACAGCGCGTCGCTTCTAGGGGACGCCCTAGCACTTACACAATGATCAAAAGGATTCATGTCATGATTTTTTCGACAAGTTTTACGCTGGCTGTCGACTACCTAACGCAACCCTCCACTTTTCGCATCCGGGCTTGGGACCAGCAACGGCAGTGTTAAATTTCCCGTCAATGAATCTAACACTGTCGTTGTTAAATTTCCCGTCAACTTCAGTCAATCAATCTAAATAGAAGAATTTCCCGTCAAGCAATAGTTGCTCTTGCGAATACCCTTTGTGTTGGTTAAGCCGTTATAGGTGTTTAGCGCCCTTGGTCGAACTAACGCTCAGTCGTCCTAGAATTTGACTGATTGGAACGACATCAGGTTGCTCGGTCATTTGCTGCTCTTTTCAAGTGATCTATTGGATCTCCTTGAGATTCAAGCAACTACATTTCAGATGTACATAATTAGTCCCCAATTTTCTTACTTCTTTGAGAGTGATAATTGTCATAAAAATAAGAGAATTAAATGAGACAATTATTTACATAATGAATAATAAACAATGTCAACAGTTGTACTCCCTAAATTTTCGTACAGCTTTTCCTTATAAGAAGGACATGAACGATGCTTTCTTTCCTTACTTCTGGAATTTTTTTTATCCTTCAGTTGTTTATAATATGGATAAGGATGTTGGGTGTTAAGAAGTCTCTAAGTGAGGAAGCATGGGTTTCCTACTTCAAAGATCCACCCTTTTTGAGGTAAAATGAGGAAGAAACCTAAACATCGTAGGCATTATATTATAAAATGGTATTCATCTAGCTATCATATAAGTTCCATCATATTATAATATTATACCCAAACATCGTAGGCATTATATTACAAAATATAATCTAAAAATGGTATTCATATAGCAACAAAAGAAAACACCAA